TGAATGAATGAATGAATGAATGAATGAATGAATGAATGAATGTTTTAGTCGAATCGATCGCCAATCCTAAAACTGTGTTAAAGAAACATTTTTTTTATTAATTTTCAATAAAATCATTGACTGTAGCTTAAACTGAAACGATTTTAACTTATTTCTTATCTTATAACTTGAAGAGTCACACGAATGAATGAATGAATGAATGAATGAATGAATGAATTTTTGCTTTATTCTTACTCAAAACCTTTTACGCCCTCAAAAAGGACTCATTCCATACCTTATTGGTTTTATACAGTTGACTGTTGTTTTGACACTGTTCTGGAATATGTGAATTGATGGATTCTGTTTTTTGTTCGAGTATCAGGACTGATGTTTAATTCCAATTGTCTTTTAAAGTTGGCATTGGCTTGTTTGAGAAATTATTTCGAGTGTTGGTCTAAATTTTGGTTCTCAAATTTCGTCTAAGTATTTCGCAAATCATTTCTTAGTTATTGGACAAATTGAATTAGTTTCAAAACTCAACTCAAAAACTTGCGTTTGCTCTTCGTTTTGTTTTTATAATAAAAATTCGCCCATCATTTTTTTTTAATAATTTTTGACCCAAATAAAAACAAAAGAATTTTTGTAGAGAAATTTTATGAAAAAAATGAAAATCCTCCTGTCCTACGGAGAAGATAAAAGGAGCTTGAGTGACCACATTCTGAACCGGTCGTGACTGAAAGAAAAAACCCAAGTCAGGGAGAACATTCAGTCTCCATTGTGTGAAAAACGTACCGAAATTTGATTCCCTTTTATAAAAACGTCAACAAAACTTTTTTTCAATCGGTCAAGGAATTTTTTATGCGGAAATTTCAATTTTTTGCATTGACCTCAATAATTTGTGACGTTTTTTGACACGTATTTCAAATTTGAAAAATACATTGTGAAAATTATGAATGGAGGGATATTAAATGCATTGTATATTGTATATTGTATGAATTTTGTATTGTATATATGTGAAATTGAAAAGGTCACGAGTTTCTAAAGATGTGATTTTATAAAGTACATTCTTAAGAAATTTTTTAATAGTGTTTGAGAAAATGAACTTTAAAAGCTTCTTAAAACAATAGGAATTGATTTAAAACTTGTTTTTAGGTTCATTTATGAATTTTCTGTTATAACAATTTTTGAAACTTGTTTGTTTACAAAATATAACCTTTGCAAATTTGTATTTGAAATTTTATGATACTTGTTGGCGTTTGCAAAATTGCTTATGGCGGTGTAAATTTCGAAAAAGTTGTACCATGAATCGTAGATTTCGGCACCCTTCTTAATGCAATGTAAATTATAGAAACGCTGTGTATCATTAACCATAGAAATACATGTACGTCCGATACATTGATAGCATTGGCTCATGAATATACACACTAGACGTCTTTAGTTTCAAAATTCCATTTCACGTAAGTAGACCCCCCCCCCCTATCGAGAACCCCATACCACTACCTGTAACAGTGTATCAACCCTATGTATATATTTGATTTTATATTTATATTGATTTATTGATGGCAATAAAATAAATATCAGTTTTCAATGTTTTTTTCCATTTTTTTGTGGGATAAATTTAGTCTCGGGTTCAAAATAGGCAACGAGTACGTAAGCCATTTGCGGGGTCACGAGGTTGAGACTATTGCATGTGATTGGGTAATGTTAAGCTTCGAATTCAAATACTCCACTTGTTACGTAAGCAATTTTTGTGGTCACGTGGTTTAAACGATGGAATCTATTTGGCTGAGATATGCGCGTGCATAGTCAGCATGGCCCAATTTATGCAAAATGCAGAAAGGGACCTTGAAAGGTGATCTTTTTCCCTATAAGAGCCACAGTCATAAACTGTAACTACTGCCTGAAATATCATTACTAAAGATGATTATACCATGAAATTTCGAGGATCCTGATTGGTTATTCTTATGTCAAAAGTGCTATTGACATTGACCAATCAGATTCGTCGAAATAACTGAGTTGTGATTTTGTAAAGTTATGATATTTTTTAGAATTACAAAGAGAAAATCTACGATAACGATATACGAGAGAATTTCATTGAGATTCATAGATCATAATTCTTCTCGCAATTAAAAACATTATAAAGAAATATCCCAAAAATTTCATTAAAATCACATTTAGAATATATACACTGCATAATATTACTTAATTTCATTGAAAATCAATGACTTTACTTCACAGTTGACTAAAATTCAAATCGTGAAAAAATACTAAATAGAAGCTTGAATTTAATTAAAACAGAAAAGATATAATTCATGCTTACATATATATCAGTCCAATAAATGAAATACCGTAATGAAATTGAAATTCATTGAAAATTCATGACTTTACATCATATAGAGTAGATACATTAACCAGTCACCAAATGAAATACCATAATATTATTGAAATTTCATTGAAAATTCGTGACTTTACATTGCATTGAGTAGATACACGAACTCGACACCAGATGAAATACCATAATATTATTGAAATTCATTGAAAATTCATGGATTTACATCACACTCGAAACAGCAATACAACCTGGTGAAAACCAACAATAGATCGATTATAACAACAATTGTTAATTCTAATTGTGGACATGCCTTAAACCATATCAAATTTCATTGTAGTATTCATAATTAACAATAAAATAACAATTGGACTCAACACACTATGGATAGCAGTAGGGATACCGTGGAATTCAAAAGATGTTCTTAAGCTCTTATTTGTATATCGGGGACACTTATAGTTTCTATTTACATCATTCTGTTTTTCCAGTCTTGGTATGTGTATCGGGGATAGTTATAGCTTCTATTTACATCATTCTGTTTTTCCAGTCTTTGTATGTGTATCAGGGACACTTATAGCTTCTATTTACACCATTCTGATATCAGGGTACAATCATATCTTCTATTTACACCATTCTGATATTATAGTCTTTGTATGTGTATCAGGGACACTTATAGTTTCTATTTACACCATTCTGATTTTCTAGTCTTTGTATGTGTATCAGGGATACTTATAGCTTTTATTTACACCATTCTGATTTTCTAGTCTTTGTATGTGTATCAGGGATACTTATAGCTTCTATTTACACCATTCTGATATCAGGGTACAATCATATCTTCTATTTACACCATTCTGATATTCTAGTCTTTGTATGTGTATCAGGGACACTTATAGTTTCTATTTACACCATTCTGATTTTCTAGTCTTTGTATGTGTATCAGGGATACTTATAGCTTCTATTTACATCATTCTGATTTTCTAGTCTTTGTATGTGTATCAGGGATACTTATAGCTTCTATTTACACCATTCTGATTTTCTAGTCTTTGTATGTGTATCAGGGACACTTATAGCTTCTATTTACACCATTCTGATTTTCTAGTCTTTGTATGTGTATCAGGGACACTTATAGCTTCTATTTACACCATTCTGATTTTCTAGTCTTTGTATGTGTATCAGGGATACTTATAGCTTCTATTTACACCATTCTGATTTTCTAGTCTTTGTATGTATTTGTGGTTCTTGTAATTTCAATAAACAATTTATGACGTTACTATCTTGAAATCCATTTAGCTTCAACCTTATAACCATTATAATGATGTCTTCGGTGATCGAGATTCGAACCCACGACGCCTGATCACTTAAAACACAATTAAACTCTCCACTGATGGAGTTAATTTACTATTTATTCGAATCTAAGATAAATCGGATTGCATCAAGTGACAAATGGCATCAGGTTTTCAAAATTGTCGATTTTGCGAACCGGACGAACTGTTTTCATTTTATGCCATAAAGGCATTTGCCAACAGATGATGTTAAGGTTTTATATAGTTTTTAATGCTAAATTCTTTTTTTTGAAAATATGATGTATATTTTATGATATTATGACATTTGTTTCTACTCTATTTCAAAAAATCAATTTTTTCAATATTATCATTTTGATTCCGCTGAATTGAACTTTGGATACACATTTTCCACCAATTTGTGGACATTAAACGCTTGGTAATCTGCCTGTAGAATAAAGAAAATCCTGTGAACGAAATAAGTGAAATCGGTAAAATATGGGCTAAGATATATTGAATTCGTTCAATAGAAACTCCGTTAACTGGAGCATTATGTTATTTGTAGACCTAACAGTAAAATTCAATCCGTAACGATTTGAGTTATATTCATTTAAATAGCGGCGGATGATTTTATCAATGAACGTGCAACATACATAACACCCAAACACAATTCATAGAACTGTCTTTAATTTATTTTGAATGCCAGTTAACGGCATGTTAATTGTATGACCCAATATCGGTAAACCCTAACACTATTCACAAGCTAGCAGTTCATCCCTCGTCCCTATACAATTTAAAACAAAGCTCGAACACTGGGTGAATTATTAGGCTATTGTAGGCCTGAAATCAACCCTCGGTGGCCCACTGTCAATGAATAGGTGGCTTCCAAATCTCTATTCAAAGATCCCAGTGTCACTGCCAACTCAACGTGCATGTCAGTGTCTACATGTCAAACTGCTCTACCTGAGCTCATGACGTCATTTGATTGGCATAAATTCAAATTAATCACGTGCAAATTGGCACCTGCAATTTCGAACGAATTTCTGAAACGATTTCGAAAATTCTATGAAGAAAACTTGTCGATTTAGGCCAATTCTGTGAATACTGTTTAAACGACAAGAAAAAAAATTCCCGCGGTGAATTGCTCTGAACAATATAATTCGAGTTGAACCATACTGGGCAGAACAAAGCAAGTTAGTTAAGCCCCGCCCCCCAGGTAGTCACACCTCCCTAGCTGTCATAATGCGGAGTCATTGTGTGTCAGTCAATAGTGAAGCGAACTCAATCTGACCACAGCTAAGGTGAAACGGAGTGATTTGATTGGCTAACGAGGCGAGGAATTCATTTCAAACCAATCAATGAAGGCGTCTTGAATAGGATATTAGTTGGAAAGAAAAGGCTTGTATTATAATAGAAGAGCCAGTTGTAAATGAGGATAGATGGGTCTAGTGAATAGTCTTCTTATACTCAACTGTTTATCATATTCTCCATTGAACGGTTCGAGATAACAGTGTTTTCAGTGTTGGACCTATACAAAACTTGTAGAACAATTCGTCTTCATACAACTATTACACTAACTTCAATCGCCGAAAAAGAACGTTTTGGCGCGGATTATAGCCAAACTTCTAAAGCAGCCGAACAATAATCGAAGATTTATTTTTACCTTTGGTGACCACTAATCAGAATTTATGTACGAAAATCCGAGCTCAGGTGTGGAGAATTACAGCATGTCGTATTCGATGGAAGACGTCAAAGCGATGCAGCAACACACTCCGATCTCCAGTCCACCGTCTCACGGGGGTCTACAGCATACTCCACCGCATCAACAGCACCAGTCAAATCCACAGTCGCAGACGCAGAACGGAAATTCCGGAGGTACTAACGGATCTAACGGCGGCGGAAAGATGCTTGCGACTGATCCTAGAGTGAAACGTCCCATGAACGCTTTTATGGTAAGTAAAATCAAATTTCTCTTGTATTAATGGGAACGTAAAGTTTCACGTCGTTTTATTTAGGCCATCGTTTTAATATTTTGAGTTGACATCGCAAAACCGGCATGCCAAATTGTTAGTTTTACCTGTAAATTGTTTCAAATAAATTTTCAATAGCATGTTAATGGACATTCCGCTTTTTTTAGTGAATTTAAAACTGGCATATCAATTGATTTCACTTTCGAAAAGGTCCGAATAAATGAAAATGAATTTTAACCCGGCTTATCAATTGACATCTCGATGTAAAAGGTTTGAATTGAATTAGAAATGTAAATGAATTTTCGAACTGGCATATTAATTGACATGATATTCCCATGGTCATTTCCAAACCGGCATATCAATAATTGACATCCAAATACATAACGTTAAAAATTATTAAATTTATCTAAAAAAAATATAAGGTTAAAAAAAAATATATTAAATTCAATAAAAAAAACAATTCGGCGCATCTTTGTTTAAATTGAAATCAAGAACTCTAGATTTAAGATAAACGCCTTCACTGAAAATCTTAAGATTTTCACATATCGAAGCCATTACATATATCTAGCTACTGTTTTTTATGGATTTTGGATAAATCGATTTAGTTTGATGACGAATATTCTCCGTCTTGCTAATTAATGGTAAATTAATTAAAAGCTTTAACTCATTAGTTTAGTTAAATGTTAAACACACATGAAAAATAAACTGAAGTTTTTTTGACAATTTGTTACAAATTTCCGTAAATTTTTAAGAATATATTTTTTTTGAAATATGTGACTATTAATTGGGTATATTTTGAAAATTTTACATCATAGTCATGATATAAATTTGAATTTAAAATTGTCAATTTATAGTACTTTTTCTACTGATATAAATAAAAAATTAAATTTGAATTCATAATGTTAACAAAACATATATATAGTTGAACACTGGGAAAAATGATTTAGATTCTTAATATTTAAGGACATCTTATACGTTTTTTTATTATAAAGTTCTTTGTAACATTGTGTTATGTTGTATCAAATGTAACATAATGTAACATAATGTACATAATTTTGTAACGTCTGTAACACATTTGTAATGTTACATATTGTTTATCATATTCCATAATTTATATAAGAAAAAAAGTTATATTTATGTTGATAAAATTATATAAACAAATAACATAAAATTTATAATATAAAAAATATTATTTATATAAAATTAATAAAAAAATATATATATTTCGATACTTGTGAATATTTAATCGAATATTTATATTTTCTTAGACAATTTATAGTTTGTTTTCGAACATAGTTACACAAATTGACAAAATTGGTGTCAATACTTCAAAAAGAAATGTAGGAAAAGTTTTTAAAGCTATTTATAAATTCTCTACATGTATTATAGCGGTTTAGGGTTAACAATCGGATTATGAGAGGCTTAGGCTAAAATTTTAATCCTCCGGCCTCGTTGACCGTAGGTAGTTTGTCCTATTTACCTGACTTAGGAAATATTTGACACCGGTAGCAGTAGAGTAAGGTGTAAATACAAGTGTATGGTTATAGCTACTGGCTACTACTGTTAACCCCTTTAATGTCGCTTTATCTGGTAACATAGGGTTTGATCAATACTTCATGACATCTTTTGTGAGGAGGGGGTTAACATGGTTTATATTCGGGTGTAGATATACAGCTTCTGGCTACTGTTGTTAACCCCTTTTACGTCGCTTTATCTATTAACATAGGGTTGGTCAACACCAGGAGGAGGAGGGGGGTTAAAATGGTATAAGATATAAAAGTGTATATATCAAGCTATTGTTGTTAACCCTTTTTACGTCGCTTTATCTTGTGACATAGGACTTGGTTAACTCTTTTGTAACCATATCAGATTTTCAATTTTTTGGCGGAGAGGGTCATTTCTGAGTCTCTTAGTCCTTCATATAGTCTTTGGGGTTATTAGTCCCCTTCAGGGTTATTCCTAACCCAGGAAATACAAGACACACTCTACGTAAACCAATTTAGAAATAGGCAAGCCAAGGATATATTATTCTACAGTATCTTAATATCTTAAAACAGCCTTCGGGCTTTCCCTAATCTAAATTTTTAACCGAATTGGCTTACTTAGCCCTCAATACCACAAAACTTTTCATCGTTCTTCGAAATCTAAATGAAATTTTCGAATAGATTCGAAATTAATAATAAAGATTGCCTTAAGAAAATACTCTATTCTGTTTTCGAACGACGAAAGATTTGAACAGGTGTGTTTCTCTCACCTGGCCATTCAAAGATGGCCGCCAAGAAATAAGAAAATTGGTCTAGCTAGTCGAGTTAAATTTAGGTTAAAGTTAGTCAAATGGAAACGATTCGATGACAGTATTCGCTGGGTTTTGAGGAAAATATCGTCGTTATTCGACCCACCACATAATTATAACATATATTTTGTCTTAGTCATAAAATTACCCCCGATTACATTTCGAGATTGAATTTTATTATTTTTTTGTAAATTTTAAACATGACTAAGTTTTGTGCATTGACATGTAAAGATACCCGACATTTCTTGATAAAAATTTTATTATTTTGCTTGCTCTTGCGATTGAGACGCAATTGATGATACAGTCATATGCTTTGTGCAACACATGGGAGCAGATCATATGCTGATTTTATCGAGTTAAATAATGTACAGAACAGTAGGATATTGAACTCCATTTCATTAGTCCAATAAGATACAGAACAGTAGGATATTGAACTCCATTTCATTAGTCCAATAAGATACAGAACAGTAGGATATTGAACTCCATTTGGGGGTTGGGTGAATCCACGATTGTCTTAACGTAACTATATTCAAATACTTCTTATTTGATATTTGACTCTCAAGGAAATGATTTAACATAAAGAATATAACTGTTATTTCCCTACTAAGACCTGTATCGGCCTTCAAAGGTCATCTCTGAGTGTTTGTATTCAGGTACGACTAGTGACCAAGTGTAGTGAACGAGACAAGACTGATTAAATACGTTTATCTTGAAAGTTTTACACCCTACATGCATGAGCTTAAATAGTGCTCGTGAAATGAAATAATCTTATATTTTAAATTGGCGTACATGGGCATATTAAATGCTGTTATGGCATTTTATATCCTACTGTTCTGTATCTTATTAGACTAATGAAATGAAATGGAGTTTTATATCCTACTGTTCTGTATCTTATTGGACTAATGAAATGAAATGGAGTTTTATATCCTACTGTTCTGTATCTTATTAGACTAATGAAATGAAATGAAGTTTTATCTATGTCATATAAAGGCTATACGAGCAAATTTGTCTTTAAAATATCGTCGTATTGACTTTTAAGATTTTTAAAATTTTGTTGGTTTAGGGGATTAGTTTTAAATCATCACTTTGAATTTTGCTGGGAAATTTGGGTCAAATTTCATAACTTGAAATAAAAGTCGAAATCCATTTAAATGATTGAAAAACAAAATTGATTATTTTAAGATATTTTTTTCGATTTTTTGTATCGATTTTCTTTCTTGGCATTAATAGAGTTCACAATTGGTTTGTTACAAAAATAACAATATTTCTCAACTGATTATCTAAAAAAAGCCATTTTTCAAAATGAGAATTTAGATTAAGAATACAATCCTAATTTTTTATTTACAAATATTTACAAAATAGGATTTATATACAAGCGAAAGGATATTTGATAAATTATAAGTTAAAGGCAATGTTTGGTTATACATGTATATAGAAGTCAAATACATTGTTCTATTTTGTATACGCAACGTTCTTCAATACTATTACAAATTGGATAATGTTTTTTGTATGAAAACCTATTTACAAATGAGTTTGTCAAAAATATACTGGCCTATTTTGTATACCGCAATGCAAAGTTTTGTGATATCCTATTTGGTGTACAAATATACCAAATTTCATCTTATCCTATTTTGTGTACAAATATGCAAAGGTTTATGATATCCCATATCTGTACAATCATGAACAATTTTCGTTAAAATATTTCCCATTTACAAATAAATCTATCAAAAAAGTACACAATAGGACAATAGGACAATAGGATAATAAGTTAAATACTAAAAGTAGAAAAGAGTTAAATACAATATTCGGTTCTATATTTGTCAGTTATCGCTCTATAATTCAATCAATTATACATAATATCATTGTTCGAATTATCTGCCCTATGGCGTTATATTCAATATACATTTATAACCAACTGAGCCTAAATTTTTATACGTATACTGACAAATTTTACATTTTGAATTTTAAATAACTTTGAATGAGACCTGTGCGACCTGTTATGTGTCTTATGGACATGTAATTGATCTAATGAAATATAAAAATGTTCAGAGTGCTCAATATTCAATTCAAATCTAGCATCCGTTCTTATGATTGTTCTCTTTTATCTCTTCAGGTTTGGTCACGTGGTCAAAGACGAAAGATGGCTCAAGAAAATCCCAAGATGCATAATTCAGAAATCAGCAAACGTTTGGGTGCTGAATGGAAATTAATGACAGAGAGCGAAAAACGACCATTTATCGATGAAGCCAAAAGACTGAGAGCCATTCACATGAAGGAACATCCCGACTACAAATACAGGCCACGACGAAAAACAAAAACCCTCATGAAAAAGGACAAATACGGATTACCGGGTATGCCTAATTCCGCAATGCACCAAGTCGGACGTGACCCTGCCATGTCACCATACATGAACGGATATATGCCAAACGGATACCCTATGATGTCACATGACCCCAATGCCGCATATCAGCAAATGGCTGGCTTAGCCGGACATTACGGTTACCAGAATTTAGCTAGCCAACCTGTCAGTGCTGGTCAAATGACCACACCCTCATATATGAACGGAACCTCAAGTTATACCATGTCCATGGCTCAGATGTCTCCATACATGCAAGCGCATGCTCAAGCACCCCACTCGCAAGTGAAACGAGAGTCGAATACCCCCACCCACCCAGTATCTCAGAGCCAGCCCGGGAAATACCCCACACAGCAGGGTGACTTACGGGAGATGATCTCCATGTACCTACCACAGCCAGGCGACAACAGCGAGGCGGCGCAGCAACAACGTCTTCATTATCAGCAACTCCAAGGACAGTACGCCCATCATTTGCCACAAGCCACCACAGACGGACCCGTAGCCAATACGGTGCCCTTAACTCACATGTAACGCAAGCTCTACCTTCAAATTCAAACTTTCTCATAAAAAGTGCATAAATGACTTACAAAAACGAACGCGAGCCATACGTGAAATGTGCTTGAGTTGACCCGAGTTGACGAGGAACACTACATTAGAGTTGTAACTCCACACTCGAGACGTTATCCGGGTCGGAGCCTCGAACCGTGCTGAGAAAGAACTCAAGCCCGAGCTTGATGGAAAGTTAGGTGACGTGGTGAAGGAGTGATTGACGTATGGAAAGAATAGACTTACGAGTGACTGAACAAGTGGTTTTGGACAACCGGAGTCCAGAACTCACAAAAACTGATAATAAACCTGCCATTTTCCACTTTTTCTCAAGAAATCCTCATTTTTGTGTGTAGACTGACATCTCAAAGGAGAAATGTGTGCAGGATTTTATGTCCTAATGTGCTATTCAAAATGTACTATTATTTCGTTTTCTGTTTATCATTCATCAATGGAGTGTTCGACTGAAATTTTAGTCGACCACGTTTATTGAATGGTGGCCATATATAGTTGATGTTTGTGTGATTTTAAAACTTTGTGTTTTTCGTTTTCAAACCAAAATTTACATCGGTGGTTTATTTTAACAAACTTCTACTCAAAAATACGAAATCCAAAATCATTATGTGCTAAAATTGGGAACTGAAATATTCCGAAACGAATTCCATGCATAATATTATAAACATTCGTTTTTAGTGTTTCCATGACTTTTAATTCTTTTTTCACTAATTCGGGTTTATCTATTCCGAAACGAACAATTAGCATAATATCATTTTTTTTCTTATTTAAATTTAATCCATGACTTCTCATGACATATTTTCGTTTCATAATAGAAAAAAATCATTGATAAATACATATCATTTTTTATCATTTTGTCAATGAATTTCATAGTTGTTGTTAATAGTTTTCCTTTTTTTGAGAATTTTTTGTACACAGAATATCTTGTTATAATTATTATTATTATTATTATGAGTTGTATAAATTCCTTATTGTAAATTTATTAAAAAACGCGCCATAATATAGAACAAAACGAAATAATAATTGCCCCATTTCCCTTAAGTATGAAATCCAAATTTTAAAGATGCCAAGAACTTTCCAAAAATTCCATTTTTCTCATATTTTTTATTTATTCATCAACATTCCCAGAAATGTCATTTTTTTTACAATTTATTTATTCCGACATTCCTTTAGATATGAAATCCATTTTAAATTTTTATTTATTTTGTTCCATTTTACAAAACAAATTCGATTTATCATATCTGTCTAAATATTGTTTTTATTTTGAAATTATTGTTAAAATTTAGCCCCTCCCCCCTTATATTTCGTCCCGACCCCATCACCTTTTTCAATGTACATATCATAAATGTCGACTCAGTTATTTTATTTGGGCGCAATCCATTTTTTTGAAAAACCGAAAAAACAATAAAAGGCCTAATCTAAGGCGAAAAATGTATATCTTCGTTTTATTTGTTTTATATTCAAATGTTAATGGAGTTTGGGAAAATTGAAGATGTACGCAGCTGGACACGTGACCGAATTAACCTCCACTGTTGAAGAGTTTATTGACATTTTGTTTCTTTCCAAACGTAACGTTATTTAACTCAGTGTCAATATGGAATCCATTAAATTTTATTGAATTTATGTATTTCAATTAACGGAAGCTTCAAGCCAGATTCTGCAATAGCCTAAGTCCCTTTCGTCTACTTCATATTTGGCTACTAGATTTACTAAGTAGGCCTGTAAAGCATGTAAAGCAAGTCTTCCAATTTCTACTGAGAGTCTGCAGGGGCAGTGGGATGAAGTACTCAGTCGAAAGCAAGTTGGATTGTCTACTGGTATACTGGAATAGATTAGTCTGTAATGAGTTGGATTGCCATCTTTAAGGGACAGTGCAATAGCCCAGTTGTGCTAAGTTGGATTATCCTGTGGGATTGCTCAGTTAGTATCAATTTTCCATGCCAACTTTACTTCATCCATATCGTTGTTTCATTGAGGTCCTGTTCCTTTCTCCTTAAACCAAAAGAAGCGATCTGGAGTATCATTGGTTGTGTCAATTTAACATACTAGGGGTTCATTGGTATGCCGATTTGGCATCCGTTCACATAACATTTAACTCTTAAAGAGTCCATATTGCAAGAAATGAAAAATAAAATCCGTATCCCTAACATACCTAATGACACAATTTGGCATTGCGTTTGTCAACTCAGCATCACTTTTACAGATTCCACATAACAAATAACATTTGCTATTTTCATTTTCACAAGATATTTTCAAATTTTTTATATAATTTAACATCATAACTTCCAAATGGATAAGTTTTAGTACATTACATTTTGAGATATACATGTAGTGTATTTTCTAAACGTACAAGCGACCTATATATTATACTGTATATAATAGAAGATATCGACAGGCTTCGTGAAGTATCTTTATAACAATTTCTTTTATACAATTTATATAGGCAAAAAAGGATTACAACTTAATATTTATAATACAACAATTACAGTTTATGAAAGATTGCGACATTGTTGTGCATCTGTACTATAACGTACTGCAATGTTACTCTAGAACATGTTACAAAGTTACAATGTATGCATGGTTTTAAATTGTAACAGAGTTACATATTTCATGATAAAGAAATATATTATGTACTTTGTATGAAATGATACAAAGTTACACTAATACATGTTACAAAGATACAATGTGTGGAAAGGATTACAAAATAGTAACGGACGTTACAAAGTTGCATATAATTCATTATATAGAAATACATTATGAATTTTGTATATCAGTGCAACATTGATATACAACGTTACACTAATACATGTTACAAAGATACAATGTGTGTCGTGAAAAAGGTTACAAACTTTGTATGAAAGACAGAAATGCTTTGTATGTCTGTATGAAAATGATACAAAGTTACACTAATACATGTTACAAAGATATAATGTATGACAAGACGTTACAAAGTTGTAACGAACGTTACATATAAATAAATCTATAAAGGAGATGCTGTGTATATCAGCGTTGTACTAAAACGTTACGACGAAGTCTTGATACCAAGACAATGTTGCAGTTTCTGAAACGAACCCTAGTTTCAATATCAGCTAACCTTTGCGGAACCGAAAGTGGTCCATTGTTGTGTTGTTGTCTGTTTATGGATTTTGTAATTGTGAATCGTATGAGCATAATCGTGTGAGCAAAAACTATTTAAATATTAATGACCTTAAATTCAAAATACTGAAATTTATTTCGTTTCGTTTCGTTTTTTCTCATTCAAGCGGAAGTGAGTTACAGATTTTTAACGCAACATGTTAACCCCGCAGAAAAAATACATTTTATTTCCGGTTATAAGTTAAATGAAATGAAATGAAAACGTGGAGGTATGAAAAATGAATTACAAAAGGCACTCTAGAGACTTTCCTTGTTCTATTGTTGGAATATAATATGCCATAGACCTTTAGCTTCTAATAACGTACGGATCTTTACAATTGTCGTCGTTTCGTGACAAGTTTATATTTTAATGGCGAGGCGGAAATGTGATATTCAGATGCAAAAGTTAATTTTTAGAGTTGTGTACGATTTGATATTGTTTGGGGTTTGGTTTTGGGTTGCTGTCAGCTGTTTTGAAACTGGGTCGACAATCGTAAGCACTTGCTCAGGTTGTGTTCGATACATCGTTGTACAATGGACACTAAATATTATAATAGCGTTTAGTTGAGGGTATCCTTAAACTGGCCCTGCAATCGAAATCACTTGCCCAGGTTGTGTTCGATACATCGTTGTACAATGGGCAACGGATATTTGATGTAGGGTGTACTCGATACATCGTTGTTCAGGGCGTTGTCACATTTTAACTGACGATTTTTGATTCCGGGTTTGGTTTAAGGTTGTTTGATATATATGTAAAGATGGGTACGGTGTTGTAATATGAACCCTAGATTGTGATTCGGGTGTGTTCTGTTGGTCAGGGCACTTTAACATTGGGTGTGTTCGAATGTTCATCCTTCTGATGAAATATTGATTTTTATTAAGGACTTTTGATTGGGTGTGTTCGATGCACTGATGTGGAGGAACTCAACCATTAACCCTTTCACAATAATGTTGTGTTTAAGTTAGTTACGTGTATATCCCAAATTGATAAAAAACTGTGATGTCTGTGCCAGTGCTTACCTGAGTCGACCCGGTATCGGCTTTCACCCCCAATGCTTCTATAGGAGAGTATACCCTATTACACTTTATTCCGGTACAATTCAAATTTGTAAACTGAAACGAAACGAAACTTTAAAGACGACCTCTCTAACAAGAAGAAAAGTAGAATTTTAATTTTCGTCTGAATTATTCCCTTTTACAACTCCATTGTTATTCATTGCACGTGAGACAACACACGTGGCTCGCGCTAGTCTATCTCGATAAACAAACGAAAATCTACATAAAAATCTTCAAATTAATTCGTTTTTTGCTTAAGATCTCCCAGAGGCTGTATGTGATTTGTACGTGTGAACGGCTCCCGGCAAATTCCTCTACTAATTCATTGTTTTAAGTTCGATTAGATGTTAAAGTGATAACAGCTTTTGTCTTAAGTGTCAAATACTTTGTGTGAACATAAAAACCTGTTTTTGTCTGAGGAAAAGTGTAATTTTCTACTATTTTGAATTGTTTTTGTATTCAGGGCACGTTTGAAGTGTTTGTGTTAGTATATCTTGCAGTTCTTTTTGTGATCACTTCAAATGTTAGTTTTAGAACGTTTTCATTATAATATTGCGTGGTAATTGGTGCACTTTTGAATCCTCAACCACCTCCCCCCCCCCCCTCCCCCACTGCCATACATTCGGGGTAACTGTGAGAACGAATTGTAGCACAGATGATTAACTCGTTTGAATCTTTACATGGCGTTTTTTGCATGG